TTGGCAGTGTGTGTACACAACCACCCTATAATGATAAAATCCAAAATTTAATGTGGACAACAATTTTTTTTTTTTAAATCCCAAAAAAAAAATAATTTATAAAATAAAAAAAGCCTACATAAATTAGAAAAAATTAAATAAATGGACCAATATAATCTTTCTGGACCAAAAATAAAATTAATGTCTTTTTTGGCCTTCGGGTCCTTTTGACCCGCGAGGGACACTTTTGTTATAGTTTCGGGAGGGATGGATGAGGGTTAAATCAACACAGGGAGTCTGAGTTTCCTGCTTAAGATTCAAATCTTGAATAGTCTGTTCACTCACTCATTAGACACCTTCCATGCATTAGTTCCATACTGGGCCATGAGCTCAAGGTTCTCAATGCGCACTGCCTGGTGCTCCAGCTGGGCCATAGAGTTATTGACACAGTCCTGCCATGCTGTGATGTCATTCTTCTGCCCAGACGATGGAGCAGGAAGCTCATATCTAAGAAAAGCACAAGAAGGTGAGATCTAACCGTAAACAACTCTTTTTTAGGTATAGCTGGATGTGCTCATTATCACATGTAAACTTGAAACTAGCTTAGACCAACTAATGTAGGCCTTCCTGTAGCTCAAACAGTAGGGCATGGCACTAGCAATGCCAAGTTCATGTTCGGTTCCCAGGAAAGCAAGAACTGATTAAAAAAATGTGCACCTTGAATGCAAAGCAAGTTGCTTTGGATAAATGGATGTGTAAATGTAAAGGAAACTATCTGTACAATGCTTGTAAGGTATCAACAATGAAGCTAGTTTAATTTAAATGTGTGCAATAGATCAGCTTCAATAAAGAGGAACTGCACCAAACTAACCAGATCTTAAATTGTTGTATGAAGGAACAAACTACAAGCGGAGCACTGCGAATGAGCTGGACAATGAAACAATGGTGCAATCTAAAACAACTAGCTTACAGTAACCGATTTCAAGTAAAAAAAAACTACTTAGCTGTGCAGGTGCATCTCAATAAATTAGAATGTTGTGGAAAAGTTCATTTCAGTAACTCGACTCAAATTGTGAAACTCGTGTATTAAATCAATTCAGTGCACACAGACTGAAGTAGTTTAAGTCTTTGGTTCTTTTAATTGTGATGATTTTGGGTCACATTTAACAAAAACCCACCAATTCACTATCTCAACAAATTAGAATACTTCATAAGACCAATAAAAAAAACTCTAATAGAGGTAGAGAGAAAGAGAACAAGTGAGAGAGACAGAGAAAAACAGAGGATTGATTGCGACAAGTAGACCTAGTTTAATTCTTTATACTGAAAAAGCCAGAAAAGGTTTTTCCCCTCTTACATTAACTCTTTATTACCCTGAAGACACACACCGAGAAAATACACAATGCTAGGGGTGCAACGGTTCAACTTACTCACGGTTCGGTTTGTATCACGGTTTTAGAGTCACAGTTTCGGTACGGTTTGGTATGTGCTATGTTTAGGGAAAAAACTACAGTTGCATCTCAATAAATTAGAATGTCGTGGAAATGTTCATTTATTTCAGTAATTCAACTCAAATTGTGAAACTCGTGTATTAAATCAATTCAATGCACACAGACTGAAGTAGTTTAAGTCTTTGGTTCTTTTAATTGTGATGATTTTGGCTCACATTTCACAAAAACCCACCAATTCACTATCTCAACAAATTAGAATATGGTGACATGCCAATCAGCTAATCAACTCAAAACACCTGCAAAGGTTTCCTGAGCCTTCAAAATGGTCTCTCAGTTTGGTTCACTAGGCTACACAATCATGGGGAAGACTGCTGATCTGACAGTTGTCCAGAAGACAATCATTGACACCCTTCACAAGGAGGGTAAGCCACAAACATTCATTGCCAAAGAAGCTGGCTGTTCACAGAGTGCTGTATCCAAGCATGTTAACAGAAAGTTGAGTGGAAGGAAAAAGTATGGAAGAAAAAGATACACTGAGAGAACCAACTGAGAGAACCGCAGCCTTATGAGGATTGTCAAGCAAAATCGATTCAAGAATTTGAGTGAACTTCACAAGGAATGGACTGAGGCTGGGGTCAAGGCATCAAGAGCCACCACACACAGACGTGTCAAGGAATTTGGCTACAGTTGTCGTATTCCTCTTGTTAAGCCACTCCTGAACCACAGACAACGTCAGCGGCGTCTTACCTGGGCTAAGGAGAAGAAGAACTGGACTGTTGCCCAGTGGTCCAAAGTCCTCTTTTCAGATGAGAGCAAGTTTTGTATTTCATTTGGAAACCAAGGTCCTAGAGTCTGGAGGAAGGGTGGAGAAGCTCATAGCCCAAGTTGCTTGAAGTCCAGTGTTAAGTTTCCACAGTCTGTGATGATTTGGGGTGCAATGTCATCTGCTGGTGTTGGTCCATTGTGTTTTTTGAAAACCAACGTCACTGCACCCGTTTACCAAGAAATTTTGGAGCACTTCATGCTTCCTTCTGCTGACCAGCTTTTTGAAGATGCTGATTTCATTTTCCAGCAGGATTTGGCACCTGCCCGCACTGCCAAAAGCTCCAAAAGTTGGTTAAATGACCATGGTGTTGGTGTGCTTGACTGGCCAGCAAACTCACCAGACCTGAACCCTATAGAGAATCTATGGGGTATTGTCAAGAGGAAAATGAGAAACAAGAGACCAAAAAATGTAGATGAGCTGAAGGCCACTGTCAAAGAAACCTGGGCTTCCATACCACCTCAGCAGTGCCACAAACTGATCACCTCCATGCCACGCCGAATTGAGGCAGTAATTAAAGCAAAAGGAGCCCCTACCAAGTATTGAGTACATGTACAGTAAATTAACATACTTTCCAGAAGGCCAACAATTCACTAAAAATGTTTTTTTTATTGGTCTTATGAAGTATTCTAATTTGTTGAGATAGTGAATTGGTGGGTTTTTGTTAAATGTGAGCCAAAATCATCACAATTAAAAGAACCAAAGACTTAAACTACTTCAGTCTGTGTGCATTGAATTTATTTAATACACGAGTTTCGCAATTTGAGTTGAATTACTGAAATAAATGAACTTTTCCACAACATTCTAATTTATTGAGATGCACCTGTACAAAATAGTCAGCTATGCTGCTTGACTCTGCAAACTGGTATTTGTCATCATATTATTTTAATCATAAACACTGGTTTGTAGCGCAAAGAGTTTTACCATTGCATTGACTGCACTTTGATATTCCAATTATTTACCTACAGCGGCTAATGAAGCAGAGATCTTGCACATTCACAGAAAACAGCTTTACAACATTGCAAAATAAGGTGGACTGAATTATGCAAGTGTAATACTTCAACGGGAAACTGGCTAATAGCATGGTATTTTGTAATGAAGTTGATATGTTTTTGTAAAAAAAAATTGTGTGAAAGCAAATAATATTTTAATCACGCATCTGTTACAACTATTACTGCAGCTCCTCCCAAAGATGTATTTAGATTTACTGCAATTTAATTTTCCTATGTATAGATGTATTTTCTATTCTAGATCAGCAGGACACAAGAGTTCACCAGTTTTGCTCAGTAAACTTACCTCTTCATACTGAGCAGCTCCATGGGTTGACGAGCAGCCAGTCTCTCAAACTCATTCCTTATGATCTCGGTCTAATGAGAGCAACATAACACTAAGATTATAGTGTGAACCACATTATAGTAAACCAGAAGCAGAAAGGGTCTTTTCCTCGTACCTCAAAAGCAGAGAAATCTGGTGTGGGCAGGTAGCTCAAATAGTTCTTGGTTGGTCTGTATCGTCTCGTCTCTTCTTCCACCAAAGCAGCTGCCTGAAATTGATTCAAACGTACATTTCCCTCTAATACAGACAATTGTAACACTATAGCATACTCAAAACAGAAACATATGATGAATAAACAACTAAACGGTTTCATTTAAGAACCAGAAGAAGACGCAGCGGTTAGCTGTCTGTATAGAGCCTGTAGGTCTTATATTTATTAGTTATCGACGTTTTAAGTAGACAGAACGTCCAAAAAGACACATTCAGTCTACTTACGGCTCCTCTGACCCCTGGAGCATCATAACCCTGGTCGAAATAAGGCAGAGCATCAACAAACACATCACCAGCGACTGAAGCTGGTCCTGCCATCCTTCACAACACGCTTCTTCTTCTTTGACGTTTTTGTGGCGGTTGGCAAACCAGCTTTAGGTGCATATACCGCCACCTACTAGGGTTTTGTTTACGCTTTTTTGTTAAAGGAAAAACAAAAAAGCTAAAGAAAGAATAATAAAAAATAATAATAATTCTTTAAATCCTGTTCATGAATTCTGTGACTTTGAAATATTTAAATAGTATGTGAAACGTTGCCACGCGTCTTTCTTTTCTTCTTCTCTTTTAATGGCGGTTGGCAAACCCACTTAAAAGGTGCATTTCCGCCACCTACTGGACTGGAGTGTGGCGCATGACGGATGTTAGTGACAACATACCTTTAAGAAAAGGATACAATTATTCTATACACTTCATTATGTGATCATAAATCCTATTTATTAAACCTATTGCTTTCAAATAACTTATAATTGCATAATATACTTTTTACTGTGCTGGAGCAGTCTTTCGTATTGTCTTAATTGTTATATTTTCTATATTCCAAATACTTAATTCTTCTATTAATCTCATTCTTCCCCATTCTAGTGAGACTTTTTGCCAAGATCACGCGAGAGATCACAGAAACCTTTCCAGTGTAAGTTAAATATTATTAATAATAAGATATTACAAATAATTTGGTAGTAAAACAAAGTGCTACACATTTTATTGCTGCAAGGATTAGTATCTTTATTTTTGTACATTTGCAACTGCTTTTTATCACTTAATTAAATCGTGTCATATATTATAGGGACTACTGAACAGACATTTAGAAGTTGATTTACAACATCCGCCATGTTTGTAGTTTTCAACTCGTTTTTGTAGTTCTGGACAGAATCCTTCACCAAAGCGCAATGGATTGTGGGCAATATTAGCCCGTGTGCACTGATCCCCGCTTCAAAAATCGACCTGAAATTGTAGTCCATCCGGGGACCTTTGGCGTACTCTTTTCAACATACTATGCTTTGGGACACACTTATTCTAATCAAAGATATTATTTAGAATGGATAGTATGAACACTGAGACGCAGGGCCAGTGATTGTGAACAAAAACACGCTCTGTTATGATGGGATTGCAATTGACTAAAATGCATGCATTTAAATATTTTACATTCTTCCAATAATAAAACTGTGCTAGATCATGAGTTTTGTGAGGGAAGGGCTTTTGAGCTCCTTTATGAAAACAGACTGTTTACAAGTGGTTTTCAAGCTGAAATAGTGTGTAACACGTAACAGTGACTGTAAAACATGTATTGTAGGTATGGGAGTGGCATATGTTGAGTTTTAATATTTGGATGGGGTCAATGGGGTTGTTTGAGCCTATTTTTGATTGGACTGATTTTGTGACACAGACCTGGCAACACTGCCTGCGTCTCTAATCAATGTAAAGTACCATTCGGAAGTTTGATTCAATGGATCACTATTACTTCTTACATGTTAAGGTAACATGATAACAGCAGTCATCGAAATTATTAAATAACAAAAAAAACACTTATGCAATGTCCCAAAAAAGTGTCAAAACTGTCACAGCCACTTAAGCTTCTTTCAAGTAGCCACCAAATCCACATTACTGCTGTAAGTGTAGTTTTTAATAACACTGTATACTCCTTTCAATATAAGCTTCCCATATGTTTTAAACCCATGCACCCTATACATTCTCATTCTCTTGACATTCATCAAAATGTTCAATTTCCACATCAAGCTCACATTGTTTGTTTCACACTTCCTGTCCAACATTGCATCAGAAAGCTGTTTTTCCCCCCCAAATGTTACAAAAAGTCTAGTTTGTCTAAAAACACAACTGTACAAAATGTAAAAGCCTCTGAAAACACTTGCATTGTTATTTGACAAAACAGAAAATTTGGCACAAAAAAAAAAAAGGTTGACATAACTGGAAAGGCCATTTCTGTGCATATAAAGAATCATAAATTAATTCCTGAAGGGGAATAGAAGTCATCCTTCATCATATCTTCTTTTTAACAACACATTTCCAGCTGGAAATAAGCTTACCTTATTGTATGGTTTAATAAAAATTATATTAAAGACAATAAAAACACATAAGACCTCTGACATGGCCATTAACCCAACTCTTGTTATTATGCATTCATAGTCAGTTTTTTCCTTATTTATCAAAATTACAATAACACGACACAGACTCCTCCTTTTCCTCTTTGTTCTAATTCAGTCGTCTTTGTTCCTTGTGCTTATAAACTCATTTCCAGTCTTTTCCTCTTTTGTGATGGGATGGCAAATCCAAGCCAGAGAATTTTCAGGGCAGAACAAGCTGATTCCAGTCTTGACCTCATCTCCACCCTTTTGCGTGTTGGCTATGGAAGAGGAACTGACATGCTGGTTGAGTCATCACACACTTTTGAATAAAAGCCGCTCATACTTGGCGTCTTGACACAGTTCTCTATTTCTTCTGCAAGAATTTCATTTTATTTCCTGCAAACAAACATAGTTGTGAGTAAAACAATGGACAAAGTGCTTCTACATATTTATCTTTTCATTCTAGACAAATGGAAAAGAGGCAAAAGATTTACCGAGCCCCTTGAGAAATTTGTTGACTCCACTTGGTTCAGGTTCAGGATACGAATCCAGATATTCTGCTGCTCTCATTTCAAACAGCCCTGTTAAACAAGGACAAAACATTCTCTCATTACTTAAAAGGAATGGTTCGCCCTAAAAATAACAACTCTAATCCAAATATTTCTTCTCTCACCTTTAACACCCCCTTTTCTGAGCTCTCGGTCATGAATGAAACCAGCAAACATCTGCGTGTCCATGAAGAGCTGGAGAAACTGTCGCACTCCTCGGGAAGGATGAGATTTCCTGAAAGCGTCTCTCTGCAGCTCTCGGGTCCCACCGGGTCCTGTGTCGCTCATGTAGAGAGAATAATGTCCCACCAGCTCAACAAAGAACCACACAAACGCCTCTGACACCAATGTGCTCAGGTCTGATTTATCTGTTAGAAGAATAAAACCACAGTGTGACACATTGATACTGCATAGTATAAAAAAACAACAACAACAACAAACTAAACAGACACAAGCCAATAAAATAAGACTTTTGTGGCTTTGTCCATGTCTATTAGCTTTGAAGCCATTTACAGTCAAACCAAAATGTATTCAGACACCTTCAACATTTCACGCATTATCACAGTTTATTCGCTATAGTTTAGAAAATGGTAATAAAATATGACAAGAACTCAGAGTTAAACTGTGTCAGAACAAATTCATCTTGATAATGTCAGATAACACTTAATTTGAATTCTGTGCTTGTTAAGCCGTTGGTCCTTGAATATTTAGTATAACCAGCATAATGACTATTTGCCGTTGAGCCAGCTTAACGAACATCTGTACACCTGAAATCATACTTGTCAGCATGTTCCTGACCTCATTGGCCTTGTTTAACGGTTGGTTACTCATCACATCATGAAAAAAATAGACGGTAGGACTTTAAAAGGGGAACATTTTGACACAATAAGACAATGGACCAAACCTTCAGTCACGTGAGTAAAACCGGTTTAAAATTGAACTGAGTCAGATGCTGTGGGTTCAGCTGTGAATAACGGCACGTGTGATGAGTCTAACCTCCATTCCTGTCTCTTGTGTTTTGTTCTAGGATCTCCTCCCTGTTGTCCAGTATCTCCTGAAGCGCTGCCTGCAGCTTTCTAGGTAAGATACAGTCTTCGTCTCCAAGCTAGGACAGAGGAGAGGAGAGAAAGATGAATATAGGAGCAAATTTATGAAAGAAACAGACATTTTGATACAAAGACAAGATAAATAGACCCATTATTACATTTAACAAAAGGATTTGTCAGCAATTAGATCTTCAGCAATTAGTAGTCTGATGTAGACTAATGTACAAAGGTTTGGAGTCAGTAATTGATTTTATTTTGTATTAGTTTTATTTATTTATTTTTTTAAGAAATTAATATGTATTCTGCAAGGATACATTAAAATTAGGGCTGTCAAATTGATTAATTGCGATTAATCGCATCCAAAATAAAAATGTGTGTTTACATAATATATATATATGTGTGTGTGTGTGCCGTGTATATTTATATGTATATAAATATACACACATACATGTATATATTTAAGAATATGTATGTATGTATATATATATATATATTACATATATTTCCTAAATATATACATGTATGTGTGTGTATTTATATACATATGAATATGCACAGTACACACAAAAATATTATGTAACCACAAACTTTTATCTGATTTGACAGCCCTAATCAAAATTGATCAAAATTGACAGGTAAGACATTTATAATGTTACAAAAAAGTTATATTTCAAATAAATGCAGTTTTTAACTTTCTACTCATCAAAGAATCCTGAAAAAATGTTTTCCACAAAAATATGAAGCAATAACTGTTTTCAACATTGATAACAATAAGAAATGTTTCTTGAGCAGAAATTCAGCATATTAAAATGATTTCTGAAGGATCATGTGTCACTGAAGACAGTAATGGCTGCTTTGTGATCACAGTAAATTGAATTTAAAAAGAAGTTATTTTAAATTGAAATATTATTTCAAATTATATAGCATTTTTTGATCAAATAAATGCAGCCTTGGTGAGCATAAGAGACTTCTTTTCAAATCACTGGGGATATTATTATTGACCCAAACTTTTAAATGGTAGTGTATAAGGGAAAAACTGGAATTGGATGACAATATAAGTATGGCCAAAAAGACTTCTTAAAACCATCAGATTTATGTCTTTGACTGATAATACAGTACAGCTGCTCAGGCTGTGACTTGAGTTTCAGACTACACCCTCACAAACATGCACTTGTGACACTTTCAAAAGGTTACACCCTTGTATTAGAAAACTAAAACTTGCATACACACCTGAACAACAAACTTGTCCGCACACAAATCCACAATAAGAACCTGAAAGAATAGTACAAAAAAAAAATGTAAGTGTCTTTCATTCTCTTTCAAAATGGAAAGCATAAGAAAAAAATTCTAGGTATGTGACATAAAAGTCACTAGATGGACCTGACAGGAACATCAGAATGCAAAGTTGTATCAATTTACAATGTTCATCAGGTTATTTAAACAAGACAAATGCAATCTTGTTTTCAATGAAAGATTGCAAAGTTATGAAGATTTGTATTTATAGCACCTCCTACATTTTGAAATAAAGGCTCCAAAGGGGTGTCTAAAGAAAAATCTAAAGAATATTTTTCCACAAAAATAATCTTTTGTCCAATGGAAAGGATCCTTGGATGTTAAAGTTTCTTCATGGAACACAGACGCAAATAAAAGAACCTTTCTTTCTTTATTTTTATTTTATTAATTTTTTGCACCTGCAAAACAAGTACTACTTTTTGGTAGACTAAACTTGGATCGTCGTATAGATATTATTTAATACCTTATACCAAATATAATTTTATTGCTGGCATGGGGAATTTCAAGCTGTTAAACAATGGAAACAATTCAAGGCATGGTGGTTATTAAAGGGGTCATATGATGCGATTTAAATTTTTCCTTTCTCTTTCGAGTGTTACAAGCTCTTGGTGCATAAAGAAGATCTGTAAAGTTGCAAAGACTAAAGTCTCAAATCCAAAGAGATATTCTTTATAAAAGTTAAGAGTCAGCCACGCCTACCTAAAACGACTCGTTCTAACACGCCCCCACATGTCTACGTCACAATGTGGGAAGATTTGCATAACGCCACCCAAATGTTCACGCAAAGAAAAAAGGCGTAACTTTTATTCTCGCTGTAGTATTGTTGTTTCCTCTGCCATGTCGTGAAGGCTCTGTGTGTATTGTTGTGAAAGCGAAACTACTTTGTTTGGTCTTCCAAAAGAGGACGATATCTGCTTCGTCATGCCTGGAGCTGATCCGTGCTGGTCGCTGAGGAAATACTACAAATTTGCGCTGTGGATCGCCGGATCGGCTTTCACCGTGGACGAAGCGGAGTCCAGCCCGGAGTCGTCACATCTCCTTCTGGACGCTCCTTCGTCGAAATCGCCGGCCGCGCCATTCTCAAGCCCCATCATATGACCCCTTTAAATTAAACTCCGGCCGTAGTAATAATCAAACCTCAGAGCTCTTCTCTGTTGTTTAGAGGCATCTTATATGGGATCCATGACAGCATCCAAGAAAATTCTCTTTCTACAGGCCAGATGAGTCGAAGTAAGTTTGAAAGTTTAAAGGTGGGGTAAGCGATTTTTCAAAAACGCTTTAGAAAACTGTTTCAGGCCGAATAGCAAAACAAACTTGTAGCCAATCAGCAGTAAGGGGCGTGTCTACTCATGATGTGGAGGAGAGAGCGTTCAGTGCATGGGACGGACATTAGCTAAGCCGAGTGACAGAAAGATAGGGATGGCGGATAAAAAACAAAAGAGGAAAACGTCTGCGGAACAAAAGAAGGCTTGAGGCAATAAGGCAAGAAGTAGGACCCGTGTAAATATCGGATCAGCATTCCAGCGCTGGACAGAACTCAAGGAGCGGAAGGCCTGCGATCGTATGCCGAGGTGGCTTTGTTTCTTCGCGATAGGTGAGTAACACCGTGTCTGCGCCACAACAGCTAAAGTCTGTCTAGTACACTGGACGCGACAAAGCGACCATTGAAAATCATTAGAATTTTGTGTCAATACGTCATAAATAGAATGCAGCAGCAGTTTTCTGTCAGGGATTTGTCGTGTTGTGCCGCGCCGCATCCAGTGTAGACCATAGATATGTATATGTATCTATGGTGTAGACAGCATCATTATGATGAGTTCTATAGTATTTTGGCACGCCGGGCCACTAGCGTCCGGGGGAGACACGGTGTAACATTGGTTTTGATTTGTTTCACAGAACTAATCGTTGCCTGGGTTGCGTACGTATGTGTGGGGCGGAGCTATCAAAATAGGGGCGAGACCCTTTTGGGGTAGGGTTTGTTTTAGTGATTTCAAATGTCAACATTGGCTACCAGAAATCGCTTACCCCACCTTTAACCTAGTCAAATTATTGAAACTAATCTGAGAAAATTAACACATTCACACATGACCACCAATAAATCATACATCAATACTCCCTCGCAGCTTCATTTTCATTCCTGTTAGAAATTAATAATGCACTACCTTGCATCTATTGGTCAGAAAGATGAAACTGTTGAAATTATTACTAAAAACTTAATTACTATCAATATTGGTGTAAAAAATCCTTGATTAGAAATATAAGTGATTAGAAATATAAGTGGACTTAAATAGGCTCCTTCAAAGTGACTGACCTCCTCGATGGGCATATCCAGCACCTCAGGCAGGGATGGAGACAGCGCCCCCATCACAAAAGGAGTGGGAGAGCAGCATATGTCCAGCATGCTGGCAGGGAGCACCGGTACGAATGTGTGCTGCCATGTGAAGGGATACAGCAGAGCCAAGGCAGAATGGGCACATCGGGATAAGACACTGGCCAGAGACAAACAGAGGTAGGTTTGAATTTAATTCTAGTTGGCATTCAGATTGCTATATTTGGTTATCAGCATGGGTGGTGGTCTGTACCTGAGTTTGTCTGCGATGAAGATCACCCTCCTCTCCAGTAGCAGAGAAGCGAAGACCTGCAGGAGTCTGGTCACACTGAGACACTGCAGCAAACTCTCAAAGTCCACATGCTCCAAACGAGAGTCCACCGGCCTGCACAGCGTCAGAACCTACACATACAACAGAGACACACGGATGATCCTCAGAAGATAGTGACAAACCTGTTCTTTGACTTAAAAAGGTTTCAAGCAGTTAAGAAACTCCATGTAAAAAGGCAAAATTGTATAACAACAATATAAAAAATAATATGAAATGGTTTGACTCTATAATGATTTGTACAGTTTTTTTTACTTTTTTTTTTACAGTTTTATTTTTAAAGTAACATTTTAAATAATTTTCTTTTAAAACATTTATTAAAAATAATAAACTGTAATGATACTGATAATAATGATAATAAATAATTATGTAATTAAATAATGTAATTATTAATAATTACATTTTATTAAAATTATTATTTTTTAATTCTCTTATTTTGCAGGGCTAAGCATTAGTACAAGATGCAACAATTATGAAAAAAAGTAATTAATAATATAAATTATTCAAGAAGAATGCTTGGCCCTTGATTTTTTTGTCATAGGTGTTATCATGTTAAAAACATATTAAATAAAGAAAATTGTAGAAAAGTATTTCCAAGGTCAAAGTTCACAGTAAAAAGGCAGTTCAAATATGCATATGATATTTCTACCATATTGGAAAATTTTTATTTACATTTAAGACATTTTTTTCATATACGGTTAAAGTTATTTGTTAAAGGGATAGTTCACGCAAAAATGAAAATTCTGTCATTAATTACTCACCCTCATGTCGTTTCAAACCCGTAAGACCTTCGTTCATCTTCGGAACACAATTTAAGATATTTTTGATGGAATCTGAGAGCTGTCTGACCCTGCATAGACAGCAATACAACTGAAATGTTCCCAAGTCCAGAGACGTAGCAAGGAGATCTGTAAAATAATCCATGTGACATCAGGGGTTGAACCGCAATTATACGAAGCTACGAGAATACTTTTAGTGCGCAAAAGAAAAAAAAAACGACCTTATTCAACAATTCGTCTCCTCCGCATTAGGGATGCTCCGATCCGCCTTTTTCGCCTCCGATACCGATTCCGATATCTAGGGTTCGGTACTGGCCGATACAGATACCAATCCGATACCAGTGAAGTTTTTTATGTGAATGTAGAATTTATATATCTCTGTGTGTGGAACTGATAATCATTCTTTCACAATCTACTAGATACAGACTACTTCATTATAAAGAAAAATAAAATAAACAAATACTAGTATATTTTTCTGTTTACTCGCCAGACAGAAATACTATACTATACTATATAATATAATACTATATAATATATTATATACATATATAATGTTTGTAAAATGGTACAGCTTTTTAAATATCTGAAAGTACACTCTTAATATCAGTCAGTCAAGCATTATAATATGATAATCAAATAATAATCTATTATCGAAGCTTACTTTTTTTTTTAGGAGCAT